GACTGCATAATTGTAAAGACAAATTAGTTTGTTTTTTGAGTAAAATGGACAATTTGTATCATTTTATGTGTTAGATATAACAACGGACGAGACTTGAAGTCGATCAGAGAGTTATGCTCGCAAAATATGCTCCAAACTGAACTATTCAAAAATGGGCAAATCAAATTGTTGTGTCGAATAAAGTGTTGATTTTTATATACTAGGAATTAGTTAATGGCAAAGGGAAGTGACGTGAAACGCGTTCGTTGGGTCGCCATATGCTGCATAATCACAATCTACCAGTCAAGATGGCTGCCGCGTTAATGCTGAGTATTTGTTAGTTTATGTGCCACTTGTAGGAGAGAGCGTAAAGAGGAAAAATACCGGTCCGTGTTGCATGGAAAAATACCAAAACATTTTCACATTTCATGAGTCAAGATGGGCTGCGCTAAAGGGAGTTTTTATTAATTTACTGCTAATTTAGCAGAGAGGAGCGAGCATAAAAAGAATAAATGATAGTGGCGTGTCATGGAAAATTTCCCAAAACGCATCATTGCGTAAATTGCAATTTAAAATGTCAGGTCAGCGGCCAGGTACTAATTTTTATGATAATAAATAGTGCCAACTGTTTCGTTTTGGCGCGCCAGGGTGGGCAACTTTGTTTGAAATATTGTTTTAAGGCTGCACAATTGTAATAAAGCATAAACTGAGTTTTGTTGCATGTGTTCTGTTTTCGTGCGCAACGTCGGGCGATCTTTAAAATTTTTGAAAAGTTTAAAATGTAGTTTTGGGGCAGCACAATTGTAAAGACAAATAACTTTGGTTTTTGAGTAAAAGGAACAATTTGTATTATTTTAAGTGTTAGATATAACAACGGAAGAGACTTGAAGTCGATCAGAAAGTTATGCTCGCGAAAATTACTTCAAACTAAACTATCACAAATGGATGAATCAAATTTTGTGTCGAGTAAGGTGTTTAATTTTTGTAAACACGGAATTAGTTAATGGCAAAAAGAAATGACGTAAAACGCGTTTGTTGGGCCGCCATATGCTGCATAATCACAATCTATGAGTCAAAATGGCTGCCGCGTTGAAACTGAGTATTTGCTAGTTTATGTGCTAGATGTAGGAGATAGCTTAAAAATAGTGGTCCGTGGAAAAATACCGAAACATTTTTCACATTTTATGAGTCAAGATTAGCAGAGACGAGCGAGCATAAAAAGAAAAAAAAATGAATGCGACCGGCGTGATATGGAAAATTTCCAAATGGTATTATTGCGTAATTTGTAATTTTAAAGGTTGTTAGGTCAGGGACGGGAACTAACTTTTATGTTGAGTCCTAGTGTCAACTGTTTCGTTAAGGCTCGCTAAGGTCGGAAAAATTCGTTTACAATGGTGTTTTAGGGCTGCACAATTATCAAGCGTAACTTTAGTTTTATTGCTCATATTATTAATCAGTTCCATCTGTTCTGGTTTCGCGCGCCAACATCAACAACAGGTACTGATAGCCAAATTTAAGCTAGTCTATCGCAAGGTTTCCGGTATCATATTTTGATTATTGCAACTAAACTAGAGGTCCACGGAAGACATATTGACAATTATGTTATTTGATATAGTATACTATATAACTATTTTTTGAAAACACAACTAAAAACTGACAAATAACACGTAAAACCACGGAAACGAGGCAATATTTACAACCATTCCTGAATATCTGTTTGAGCGAAAGGAGTGGCGAACTGCTGAACAAATGCACCCACGTACATTTGCACCCCCAGACATTTGCACCCACAAACATTTTCACCCCCAGACATTTGCACCCACAAACATTTTCACTGACAGACATTTGCACTCACGCAAATTCGCAACCCATACATTGGAATGGGTGCAAATATCCGTAGATGCAAATGTCCGTGGACACAAATGTAAGCAAGTGCAAATGTACATAGGTGCAAATATCCGTAGGTGCAAACGTCCGTGGGTGCAATTATACTGAGTGCAAATGTACATGGGTGCAAATGTACACGAGTGCAAAAGTACTTGGGTGCAAATGTACATGGGTGCAAATGTCCGTGTGTGCAAATGTGAGCGAGTGCAAATGTATGGGTGCAATTATATTATGTGCAAATGTCCGTGGGTGCAAATGTATGCGAGTGCAAAAGTACTTGGGTGCAATTGTTCGTGGGTGCAATTATATTATGTGCAAATGTTCGTGTGTGCAAATGTAAGCGAATGCAAATGTATTGGTGCAATTGGTGGTGGGTTTGTGGGTGCAGTTATACCGAGTGCAAATGTACGTGAGTGCAAAGATAATTGAAATGGAATTCAGGAATAATTACAACCAGAGATATATCGTTTGAGATGAGTGGGGGCATGCCCGTAACAGCATTTCTTTGTCTTTACAGCAGCTAAACATTAATTTGGTTTTTGACTAAAATGGACAATTTGTATCATTTCATGTGTTGGATATAATATATGTTTGATTTTTGTATAGTTTAAATTAGTTAATGGCAAAGGGAAGTGACGTAAAACGATTTTGTTGAAGCGCTATATCCTGTATAATCACAATCTACGAGTCAAGATGACTGCCGCGTTAATACTGAGTATTTGTTAGTTTGTGTGCTAGATATAGGAGAGAGCGTAAGTGGAAAAATAGTGGTCCGTGTTGCATGGAAAAATACAGAAACATTTTCACATTTTATGAATCAAGATATGCTGCGCTAAAAGGCGTTTTTACTATTTTACTGATTGTGAAATATGAAAATGATTGTGGCCCGCGTGCATTGGAAAATTTTCAAAACGTATTATTGCGTAGTTCGTAATTTTAAACGTTGTCAGGTTAGAGGCGGGTACTACCTTTTATTTTAAATAAAAAAAAGTGCTAATTGTTTTGTTTACGTGTCCCAAGGTGAGCAAATTTAGTTTGAAATAGTGATTTAGGCTGCACAATTATGAAGCGTAAAATGAGTTTTGTTGCTTATGTTAATAATCAGTGTCATATGTTCTGTTTTCGCGCGCAATGTCGAGCGACTTTTTGAATTTTTTAAATGTTTAACATGTGGTTTTGGGACTGCATAATTGTAAAGACAAATTATTTTGGTTTTTGAGTAAAATGGACAATTTGTATCATTTTATGTGTTGGATATAACAACGGACGACCCTTTAGTCGATCAGAAAGTTATGCTCGCAAAAAAGGGCTCCAAACTGAACTATTAAAAATGGGTAAATTAGATTTTTGTGTCGGTTAGGTGTTTGATTTTTGTATAGTTCAATTTAGTTACTGGCAAAGGGAAGTGACGTAAAACGATTTTGTTGGAGCGCTATATGCTGTATATTCACAATCTATGAGTCATGATGGCTGCCGCGTTAATACTGAGTATTTGTTAGTTTGTGTGCTAGATATAGGAGAGAGCGCAAATGGAAAAAATTTTCAAAACATTTTTCACATTTTATGAGTCAAGATATGCTGCGCTAAAAGGCGTTTTTACTATTTTACTGATTGTGAAATATGAAAATGATTGTGGCCCGCGTGCATTGGAAAATTTTCAAAACGTATTATTGCGTAGTTCGTAATTTTAAACGTTGTCAGGTTAGAGGCGGGTACTACCTTTTATTTTAAATAAAAAAAAGTGCTAATTGTTTTGTTTACGTGTCCCAAGGTGAGCAAATTTAGTTTGAAATAGTGATTTAGGCTGCACAATTATGAAGCGTAAAATGAGTTTTGTTGCTTATGTTAATAATCAGTGTCATATGTTCTGTTTTCGCGCGCAATGTCGAGCGACTTTTTGAATTTTTTAAATGTTTAACATGTGGTTTTGGGACTGCATAATTGTAAAGACAAATTATTTTGGTTTTTGAGTAAAATGGACAATTTGTATCATTTTATGTGTTGGATATAACAACGGACGACCCTTTAGTCGATCAGAAAGTTATGCTCGCAAAAAAGTGCTCCAAACTGAACTATTAAAAATGGGTAAATTAGATTTTTGTGTCGGTTAGGTGTTTGATTTTTGTATAGTTCAATTTAGTTACTGGCAAAGGGAAGTGACGTAAAACGATTTTGTTGGAGCGCTATATGCTGTATATTCACAATCTATGAGTCATGATGGCTGCCGCGTTAATACTGAGTATTTGTTAGTTTGTGTGCTAGATATAGGAGAGAGCGCAAATGGAAAAAATTTTCAAAACATTTTTCACATTTTATGAGTCAAGATTTTCTGCGCTAAAGGGCGTTACTAATTTACTGCTAAATTTAGTAGAGAAGAGCGAGCATAAATAGAAAAAATGATGGTGATCCGCTTGTCATGGAAAATTTTCAAAATGCATCATTCATAGTCGCACATGATTTCAGGTCAGGGACGGGGTCCTAACTATTATGTTGAGCAACAGCACCAACGTTTGGCACCTCGTTTTGGCACACCAAAGTCGGCAAAATTTGTTTGAAATAGTGTTTTAGAACTGCACAATCATAAAACCTAAATTGGGTTTTATTGTTTATGTTGATAATCAGTGTCTAATGTTCTGTTTTCGCGCGAACGTCAGATCTTTTGAAATATTTTGCAAGTTTGAAATGTTGTTTTGGGACTGCATAATTGTAAAGACAAATTAGTTTGGTTTTTGAGTAAAATGAACAATTTAAATCATTTTATGTGTTAGATATAAAAACGGACGAGACTTGAAGTCAATCAGGGAGTTATGCTCGCGAAAAATGCTTCAAACTGAACTATTAAAAATGGGTAAATTAGATTGTTGTGTCGAATAAGGTGTTGATTTTTGTATACTAGGAATTAGTTAATGGCAAAGGGAAGTGACGTAAAACGCGTTCGTTGGGCCGCCATATGCTGCATAATCACAATCTATCAGTCAAGATGGCTGCCGCGTTAATGCTGAGTATTTGTTAGTTTATGTGCCACTTGTAGGAGAGAGCGTAAAGTGGAAAAATACCGGTCCGTGTTGCATGGAAAAATACCAAAACATTTTCACATTTCATGAGTCAAGATGGGCCTCGCTAAAGGGTGTTTTTAATAATTGACTGCTAGTTTAGCAGAGAGGAGCGAGCATAAAAAGAATAAATGATAGTGGCGTGTCATGGAAAATTTCCCAAAACGCATCATTGCGTAAATTGCAATTTAAAATGTCAGGTCAGCGGCCAGGTACTAATTTTTATGATAATAAATAGTGCCAACTGTTTTGTTTTGGCGCGCCAGGGTGGGCAACTTTGTTTGAAATATTGTTTTAAGGCTTCACAATTATAATAAAGCATAAACTGAGTTTTGTTGCATGTGTTTTGTTTTCGTGCGCAACGTCGGGCGATCTTTGTGAAATTTTTGAAAAGTTTAAAATGTAGTTTTGGGGCAGCACAATTGTAAAGACAAATAATTTGGTTTTTGAGTAAAATGGACAATTTGTATCATTTTATGAGTTAGATATAACAACGGAAGAGACTTGAAGTCGATCAGAAAGTTATGCTCGCGAAAAATGCTTCAAACTAAACTATTATAAATGGATGAATTAAATTTCTGTGTCGAGTAAGGTTTGGATTTGTGTATAGTAGGGATTAGGTATGACTAGGGGACGTGACGCAAAACACTGTCACTGGTCTCGTTGCCATATTTGGCTTTATACCACTTTATGAGCCAATATGACTGCTATCAACTTAACATAGCATTAAATGTTTTTCAGATATTTACTTTATTGCTAAGCATTTATTTCCGTCATCAAATCTTTCAAGAAACAAACATGGACTTCGTCAAAATTCTTTTATTTCTCTCTCTCATCTGTGGCTTGCTAGCGGAAGTAAAATTACCGGGTAAGATTTGTTTCGGATAAAATTACTTGATAAATTTATCCGTCTTCTGTTACCATGAATTCTAAAGTAGAGTTTTTTGAATCATTTGCAAAATATATCACATTCAATGAGTGTAGCAACTCCTGTAATTTTTGGCGCATGATGTTGGTATTAAACCTAAAAATACCGCGTTTCATTTTGACAGCTGGAATCTGTCGTTCCCAAATCGTTAAGGGAAAACTCGTCCAGGTTGGAGATTGCAAGGTAAAGTTAGTTTTTTTTTATTAGCTGTTTTTACTCTTTGGCTCTGAGATTGGCTTTGGCTAGAAGTCACTGTTATGCATAAAGTTTCTATTTTCGAAGTGACTCGAAGCTTTTCTGAATTTCCAACCCAATTTTCAATCCGACTTCTTCATCTCACGCAACTAATATAACTTACATGTTATATTCACTTTACTAATCATCTGTATTTTTTATTTATTTCACAGAAAGACGATGGATACGGTGAGTTCGTCCTGCTTCATGACATAGTCGTAATTACGCAATGGTCTAAAAATATTCTCGGTGTGTAAGATAGTTAAATTATACAGTGGTTACAAAGATAAACAAGGTCGTTGAACAAAAAATTAGTTGTGGACAATATATTATAATCAAAACTGACTTAAAACGCATTACCCTACACTCAAATAAAATATGTTCTTTATTTACAGATATCGTCAAATTGATCCAGAAGAGTCTTGATGAAAAGAAAAAAGCTGAAAGTAATTAATATTTGTGTTTTCTGATTTATAATTTGACTATGAAATATTTCACATCCGTCTTAGTATAAATATTTGATTCACTGAAAATTTCAGGTATTGGACCCTGAGTTGTCACAGTGTGATTAAGACAACCTCTAGTCGGTTACGACTTCGCTCGCAAACCATGTAACTAAACTTGATAGATATGATGACATCTAAAAAAGATTTGTTCTGTTGTTTTAATTATTTTTCGTTTTATCCAATGACAACAATAATATTGTTTCAGTTACATGTAATGTCACATATGAGACAAAATGCTTCCGAGCAATTGTGTATGGTATAAACAACGTCACCTTCAAAGACGCTCAATCAATCTGCAAATCAATGAACTACGGAAAACCCGCGAACATTTACGACCTCGCGCACTACCAGTTACTTCGCACGTATTTTCGCTCACTGATCCCTGCAGTTTGGGCAAGGATTGACATTTGGACTGGGATGGAGTATAAGGTCAGTTAATAGATCACAATATCAGCAGAGTTTGACTCATTTTTGTAAACTTCACCGTGTTTAAAGTTGACTCAAATATTGTCTTTAATAAAATTACCATTTAATGAGCAGGTTAATTAAAGATGCCCTCTGGTTTATTAAGAACACGGATAATAAGAAAAACCCAATATATAGAATATGATCGTAATTTTAAATATATTGTGATGTCATAGAAGAAAAATCACATTAATAAATTAGTATTTCAGAAATTGTGTAATTTCCAAAAATTTATGGTTTTCACTCATTTTAATGTAGTTCTTAACACATCACTTACCCTACTTCGTTTATGATGACTACCTTTACTATAAAACTCATAACTGAAAACAAATATTTTCATTCCTCATCTAATACGTCAGTTGCAAACAGATTTTGAAACCGTTCATTTAATTGTTACAGAACAATCAGCTTTTGCTGTCAAGTGGAGATCCAATCACCATGGCAACTGAAGTGTGGTATCCTGGTTATCCGAGATTCGATGCATCGTTCACAAATGTTGCTGTCGGTGTCAATGAAGCTCCAGAGTATGAAGATCAGGGAATGTACAATCATCTACCATCCTGGTCACTCCACGGTGTCATCTGTGAAATATAAAACCAGTTAAAAACTTGACAGAACTTCGCTGACTGACTGATATAAACGACAAAGAGTTCTCACTTTTTGTTACTTACTTCTATATCACTTTATTATTATTAACCGTATAATCCATGTCTTGAATTGGTCCCCTAGTCTATTGGAACTTTTTGCTCAGAAAATAAAATTCATAGCTGTCTTACTCCATGTGATTTCTGTATATAACCAAACAAGATAATAGATATTGACTCGATAATTTGTGAGTTTGTTAATATTTTGTCAATTTATGGAAATCCACCAGAAAAAAAGAAAACGAAACGTAAATAGAAAATTACTCATACGAGAAAAAATGACCACGCCCACCATACTATGGATATCTTCAAGGGGGATGCACACATGCACGGCTACGGCTGGTCGACGACAGCTCACGAAAGTTCGTCCGGCTGCTGGCGGGTGTGATACAGACATCACCGATTCTGCGCATGACTCAGCAGATCGACATTTTCGCGCCGCTGATTTTCTCGCTGCTACGACAAAGTAGAAGTATGCTGGACTTTATCGCATTGCCGTGGCATGCCTGTGTTAGCTTCTGCAGTATTTAGTAGTAACCTGTGTCTGTGGGGTGATGTTTCTTTGGTATAATTTGTCTAAATTGCAAGTCTGGCCTACGTGATAAACTACCGGTACCTGTGTCTGTGAACGTGGGCTAGTACAAGAGAATTTCGAATTGGTTTTCATTGTTGCGCTAGGCCCAGTTTTATTATTACAACCAGCGGTGAGCAAGGAAAATAGGTACTGTATACAGAAAATGGATCCCACTCGTAATGGAATCTTAAGACTCATCTCTAAAACGACTGTGATGTATATGTTGTATCAAGACATTTGGACTACCAGGGGAGTACGGTACCGGTACTGTACCTCACCGGTACGGTATCTAGACTACAGTTATGCAGCCAGAGAGTACCGGTACCGTACTGGGATATGGTATGATAGCCTACTGGTGCTTAGTTCAGAAGTTTCGGTACGGTATATCTGTATATTGACATGAAGACATATGTTCGCACAAAATCCTGGTTTTGCACCTGTAACTACAATTTTGAGATTCAGCTTGAATAAAAAATCACTAATTGAGATTTATAAAGCTGTAAAGTGTACCAGTATTTTAGTATAGTAAAAATAAACTACTGAAAACCGATAAAATGCTCAATTACGGTATTTTTATTGTCATATACCATGCTAGCTTGCCCGTCATTTTTAATGTGCATACAAATAAAATTATAGGACCCGTACTAAGTTTGTGTGTTCTATAACAGGGAAATGTGGGTCCATGACCTGATTCTACATGTAAGTGACAAGTCTGAGTTTTTATTGGCAGAAGAAATTTTGGAATCTTCCGACAAAGCAAAATGCCATCAGTATTTTCGAATGCAAAAGTATCAATTTGAATATTTGCTCGATAAAGTTGAATCGATAATCAGTAAAAAAGACACATTTTGGCGAAGTGCCATACCAGTCAAACGAAGGTTAATATTGACTATTCGGTTAGTATTATATAATAAGGGTGGAGATCAAAAAGGTAGTTTAACCTCGGATCGGAGGTTAACTTTGGAACGCCGGTTTAAGTCCGGATCAAAAAGGTGGTTTAACTTTCTGTGACGTAAATCTCAACTTAAAATCGGCGATTTTTTAAACCTGGTCTGGAGGTGGTTTAACTCGGTTTGTCGAGTGCATTTGGATTGCGGCGCTTGTCGTGTTGGATGTTATCGCTTACCGTACAATCTATATTGTATTCTGGGGCGACAAATGGAGTAGCAGGGAGCTCTGTACACGCGTCACGACGAATAAATAATTTTATACCTGTACCACGAGGCTGCGATATGTAGCATTTGCGGTGGTACCTGTGCTGTACCTACCGTACTACGCCCGAACAAAAGTATTCACAACGTGGAATTGGGCTAGTAAGGTAAATACATACGGTACCTGGCGTATTGATATATTTCTGTATTTGCGTTTTTTTGATTTTCTTAGCAGTTTTTATGAAATTTTATTTTAACTTAGATTGTGAACTACAGTTGTACCAGAAGTCTATTGCTATCTATATTGGTCCTTGTCATAAACAGACATAGGGCCCAGTATTTTAGTATAGTTTCGTTGGTAAGCAGTAGCGCAGTGGTACCGTCGAACAGATACTCCTAGTCCTAATTCAGTAATATAAACTTCAAAATGTTTTAACAAAAATGATATATTCTCAGATATTTAGATCTACCAGTGCCCAAAAGATTCCTTTGGTTATATTTTGTGTATGAGCTGAACTGAGATTTAACTACGATATCCATGTATCACTACTGCATTGTACCCCGGTCATCGGCTAATTCACAAGTCTGCAAGTTCCCGAAGTTGGATAAAAAAAATAGGCGAGAAGCGAATGGATAGCAGAAGGTTGGGTTGATATTTTGATATACACCAATCTAAAATCATATTACATGTTATTGGTATGCTGTATGCACATATGTACGATATTTATGGTATTAATGATTCTGACTCTTGCTATATAAAATGAAACTAGAATATTGTAGTACCATGCCTATGAATTTCACCAAATGCTAAAATGCAGGAATGAGTATATTGATAACTATATATTGCCAATAACTTATTATGAATGCAATGGTTCATGCTATCATAACTATTTCTTTAATGTAACATTGTTTTCTGATTTTTCATTTATTTCTACAGCTGTTTCAAGTCAAGTAAACTGTCTGAGTGCCATGATGATGATCAATTTCATCAGCTCTATTGGAAGAGCAAATTTGTGAGTTTGTCACTATTTAAATGCCATATTATTTGTATGTGAACTGTCCTAAATTTATGTTCGCAATTTTCAGTAAAAATAGAAGCCTCTTTAGTATCAGCTGTAAAATGAAAATTATTTTTAATTTGTGTGTATAATCTGTATTATTCGTATAATGTGAGGATACTTTTATTTTAGTCATTTCTTTTTACATGCAGGCAAAACTAGTATCACATGATTTTAGAGTAGAGCAAAGTTGTTTGACATGCAATCACAATCGAAGACAAAAGAGCCTTCATTTAATATCTGAAGACTAAAAATACTCTACACATTGGATTTTATGTTATTCAAAAATATCATTTCAGAATGCAAAAAAATCTGTACAAATTATTCGTTTTTAGTCATTGCCTAGGTCGAATTTGCTTCTTTAATATCTAGCGCACTTCATCAATATACTATCTTTAACCCTGTATTTTTATTTATATTGTTCAGGTCATGAAGACAAACCACTGTTATGGATAGGATTATAGTAAAAGTGTTGTCAAGTCAAGGTTGCAGCAGTGCTTTATTCTACGCCTTTGTGTCCAACGAATATGTGGAACCCGGGTAACTTAAGCTTAACAAACAAATAATTCTTGCAATAATTCTAAAACATTTGGAGGAAACATAGTTATGTCAATTTTTCGTCACTTGGCGAGTCTTCCGCAGAAGAAATAAATAAAACTTTTAAATAGCAACGAAAGCAACGACTATGATTGCACCTGTGTCTGTGTGCATTACGTTGACACATTCCTGTCTCAAAGCTGTAGAGCCAGGATAAAATTTAGCACCTCTTCCGAATTGATTCTATACTTTTTCCATTTCTTGAATGTCAGTACATTTAGCATTCATTTGAACAAATGAATATTAGTTATTTTTGCAATACAAATTTTCAAAATAATAAAATGTTAAATATGTAGAAGCCTGTGGTCCAGAACTTGCCAGGGATAGGTTTTCAGCTGAAGTGTGTTCATTTCGTCTGTTTTCACTCTAAGTAGGATGTGGGTTCTGTAATTTAAGTCTGTTTGTTGATGGCGCCCGTCAATGGTTGGAAAACAAGTTTTATTGTTCTAATAATTGTGAAAGTTTGATGTGAGGGCATTTTTTATTATTATTAACCTGTAGTAGTGTAGCAAAACTAGATCATAACTACCATGTCAAGTGGCCCGCGCAATTATTAATGAATCACATGTGTCCCTTCGACCAAAAAGGTTGGCCGACCCTGTTGTAGACTATAACAGTAGTGGGAAGAATTCTATTTATGATAAATTGTTATTATTTTGACATTTCGGGTAATGCGCGTCAGCTCTTCGTAGTTCTGCCGCCGAGCTTGTTTTGCTTCGGCAAAATCAACGAAATACATCAAAAACCGACTTTGCAAAGACAGCAAATTACAACAAAATCGGGTTCGCGTTGTCATCGCCATGGGAATACGAGGTCAAAGAGCAATATGCCACGACGTTTTGATGAAATGCCTCGTGGCGTCGGACTTAAACCAGGATTAGTTAAGTAACCGCTAAACGAGGTTTTTGATCTCCGTTTAACTTTCGATGTTAAACCGAGTTTAACTAATCCGAGATTAGTCTTAATCCAGGTTTAAGTTAAGTGAGGTTCTTGATCTCCACCCTAAATATAATATGAAATACTATTTGAATAGTTGTTCTAATAATTCAAGTATCATAGTTTCTGTTTTCACTGGATGTTACAACAAAATTATTCATATTTCAGTAGATATGCCCTAATTCACTGTGATGTCCATTGATACCTGCTTCTAATTTGGCACAAATGTTAACAAACGTGCAAGGCACAAAATGCTTGATGACGAGTTCTCACAATTTTGTGTCTTCGATTTGGATTTATATGTACAGTGCGACAATGAATTTGCTTACCGATGAATTTGTATTTTTACTGAATATCTAAATATTGTTTTTTCTTACAGATATTTGGCCACTGGTGCTTCTCAGTTGGATCTTGCATTTTCATTCCGAATCGGCCACTCAACTGTTGGGACAATTCTCAGAGAAACAATGTCTGCTCTGTGGAAAGAACTTGTTAATGAAGTTATGCCTCCACCTACTCCGAAGAAATGGTTGGAGATAGCTAAGGAATTCAATTTTAGATGGCAGTGTCCAAATTGCATTGGTGCTCTTGATGGGAAGCATGTGCGAATAAAATGCCCTCCAAATAGTGGCAGCGAATTCTATAATTATAAGGGTTACTTTTCAACTGTTCTACTGACTGTCTGTGATGCGCAATATAGGTTTGTTATTGTCGACATTGGTAATTCCGGTAGACACAGTGATGGTGGTGTTTTTTCAAACTGACGATTGGGAAAAGGGGGTGATCAATCCAGCCTCAATATTTCTGGCCAACAGACTCTGCCTGGCACTAGTGAATCCATCCCATTATATTTTGCTGCGGATGATGCTTTCCCGTTGAAAATTGGAATCATGAAGCCCTATCCTGGTCGTGCACTGAATAGTAGACAGAAAATTTTCAATTATCGGCAGGGCTAGGAGGATTGTGGAAAACACTTTTGGGATTTTAGCTGCCCGTTGGCAGGTTTTTATCAAAACTATAAACTGTGATCCAGAAATGGCCACATTAATTGTACAATCTTGTGTTGTACTGCACAATTACCTCCAGCAATCACAGGGGCAAACTTCTATTTATGGTGACAACATGGACCCACTTGAAAGAGTGTCTGGGGGAAATTGGAGGCATAGCTTGCCAGCAAATTTGAACATGTTTCCTTTGCCCCAAACAATTATTCCCGTAATGCAGCTTCTTTTAGAGATAAACTGTGCCAGTATTTTATGTCTACATGGGCTGTACCATGGCAGCGGAATCATTGATAAAATGCTCTCTTCTAGTTGAAATAAATAAAACTGTTTTGTTAAAAGCACCGTTAGTGGGTTGTATGTATTTTGGTAAATTGGCTGTAATGCAGTTCTTTTGTTTATTAATCTTTTATGAAGATATTGTGATTATTACGAGAGAATGTTTTATCTACCGTAATTCTTTTCGAAGCCCCATATTTCCACCTTGGTGAATTTTTGAGTGATTTTCAATGTTCTCATTCATTCATTTATAAAGTCATGATTTTATGTACGCATGGAATTGAGAAATACATGAATAATGATTTTTGGATCCTGTCAATAATGTTGCCGTTCATTTTTTCAGTTTACTTGTAGACTTGTTACTGCATTAGGAGCTAAATATGGATTTTAATGCAAGGTTAAAACAGACCAACTGTGGAAAGACGTGGCAATGGATGTCGAAGCTTCGGGTGTGCTGCTTTTCCCCTAAGTAGATATTATAGATTCCATATTGTCAAAGCTTTTAATCATGCTTGCTTTGAACAGATGGCAAAAAATTTAAACAGTAATTGCAAACAAAATTGGAGTTTTTGGAAATAAAAATCCATGCCAAATAAATCGGTATTGGAATTTTGTTAGCTATGAGACACTGTTTGTCATGACATCTCATACAAGTTACTATACTGCTTCATACCAATTCTAACCCTTTTTCAGTTGAGCATTGCAAAACCAGTATAGGAAGAAGCATAGAGAAAGAGAGAAAATTCCCAGTGGGTCAGCTGCATCACAATTGGAAAAATGGCCTTACTATCATCAATTGTCATTTCTAGATTCCTTCATTAAACAAAGAAAGTAAGTTATGTAATCACTTGTTTTCTACAATAAATACGATAGCACTTTTCATACTAGCATCTTCTGTGTACTTCTGGATGTTTTTTGATGCAGCATCTTGATTTGTTTGTTCATTCAAAAGTCCCAAACTAGTTTAGAATGTAATTTCAATTCAATGATAGGTATTCAAGTTTATGTTTTTTAATCAGTATCACTCTTTGTAGAACCGTAGATAACTTGCCTCAAGCCTGTATGGAGCAAGATATCTCAATAGAGAGTTTGACTGAAAATACTAGTGAAGGTAAGCAAACTAAAAAGCTCTGTAACTAGTATCAGAACAATAAGTTAATGCTTGTATTATGTGCACAATCTGTAGAAGTATTGTGCAGGTCTATACATTCACTGTATACTTAAAATTATCAATTACATGATATATTTATACTTTTAACGTTGGAAATGTTGACTTGTTTGAATCTGGAATGTATAAATTCAATGTAGATTATGTAAGTCATAAAGATATCACATTTCCTTACAAATAGATATTATTTGTATATTAATATAACAGACAATGGAATCTTCTTGTTTTTCTCAATTTGGATGTTTGGAATGAGTTGAAAAGTTTTATTCAACAACCCACATTAGGAATCAATATACATATTTATTCCGGGAGAGAAAAAGGCTGACAAAATCGCCTAATAATATGACGTTACCAGTTTAAGTCGAGTAAGTTTTTTTCAGATGCATGGACTTGATGGTGGAGAAGTGGTGGCAAGCATATTCGTAACGCTTAGCATGATGGGTCACACTGTCTAGCTGGGCATTCTCTGCTTTATTTTTAGGGGGATTCGAACAGGTTTTATTTTATTTTACAGTTCCGATGTAAACTTTCCATTTATTTCCTTCATAATCGTATGGTTTAATCACGTATTTTTATTCTCGCACTTGATTACAGTGAACGAAGGACTTTTTTTATTTCCAGCAGAATCCATACAACTTGATCTTGGAAGTTCATCTTTGTGCCACAAAGAAAGGTGGAATGAAAGTTCAATCAGGACCTTTGCAAAAAGAAAAAGATCAGAAAGAAGTATAGTACAGGTTGACAAAAGATCAGTTAGTTTAGATTTAGTTAGTTATATAGAAATCATTTTGGGTATTCCTGATTCCGTTTAAGCTGATACACTTGTAGCTGTACATAGATCGAAGCCAACAACATTAGTGTCGTTGGAGTTGAGAATTTGATGGAATGAAAGATTTTGAGAGTATATGATGTTTTATTTTCAGGCGGAGATGTTGAACTTTTTGAGAAAAAGCGCCCAGCAGCTGGAGAATACTAAATATGTAGATAAATTTGACCATTTGGGCAATCTTGTGGCAGCTCTGTTACGTTCAAGGCCGTTACTTGAAGCAGAAGCATGCATGAAAGATATGAGTATTGTGATGTTTCGTGACATCGTGGTAGAGGTTTCTGAACAGGGCCTGTAGCTCCACATTTTGTCTGTATACCAGATAATGAAGAAGATTGGACTTATTAATAAAGTTATGGCTTATATTTTAGTCATGCTTCTAATGTTATTCTTTTCATGTGGCGTTTTCGTTTTGGGCAAAATAAAATAAGGAATGTAATATTGAAACAGTGATGTTGTCTTGTTTAGTGTATAGATCTCAGTAGATTATACGAATATATTTGCCTCGAGGAAAACTAACTATTTACTGGAAAAAATGGGCTACTGGATTTATGTAGCTAATTAATATTACTTTGAATGAATGGTATTTAGAGATGGGCTCAGGAATTCCATGTTGATATGTAATTAAATGCGTGTCATCATTGTGATTTGAGAGGTTTGCTGATTCCTAGGGGCTGGCCAACATGTGAGGACCAAGTCTCGTGTTCATGAGTTTAAAGAAGTTATTCACATGTTTATATTCTTTCACTTCAGAAGCCAAGGTTTCAATTACGTTATGGTATAGATGCACCAAACATCGCAGATTAAGATTGGGCTGTGGCAATGCAGAATGCATGATTAGTAATGCTGGATATTCACTAGAGGTATGGGCTACTTAAAATAATAGAACTCGGTTTTGACTTGTAAGTGGTGGTGGTTTGATAATAATGGCGATGGAATAACGCGGTTGAATAGATTTTATAAAGAGGAGAAACGTGTTTGATGATTAGGCAAAACATTCAGGCCATGTCTTTGATCGTAAATATATACTACTCATTATGATTGTGTGATACACAGTGCACATTCGCTACAGTGTCATGCATACCAACTAAAAAAAATCTTATCATAATTAACAAAACACGGTCGAAGGGCCCTTGGCCGCGAATATGTGTATTGATATATACAGTGTGTATTAGAACCGCAGAAATCACACCACGGAGCTGCCGGCGACAAAGCGTTCAAATGGGGATTCCCCAAACGGCTGCCTTTCTTCCGGGCATGTGTGCAGCGGCCTTTAGACTGGATCCGCCCCGCGGTTCGTAATTTACCCGCCTCTGGTCAATTTGATATGTCTGACATACAACTAAAAAACACTCACAGTAAACGAAGAAACTTTTTGTCTCGATAGTTTGCGAACGCCATAGCATATGTCGTAAAAAATTTATGAGTACGAGTCTCTTGCGTAAAAAAATAAGATCTCATTTTTTAACGAGTTTTTAAGATGTTCAATGCCTTATTATACAGTATACACTACGTACATATACCACAATGAATCGTCGTACAACAGAACATACCGAACACACAGGGTAATAGGGT